TTGCAGTATATCGCACTAATAGCCGAAGCCTCTTCGCAGGCGGCACGTGAATATCAACAAGGACGGAAGAACGAAAAGGAAAACGGGAAAGTGACAAGGAGTGAAAGAGACAAAAAAAATGTTCGCTGGTGGAGAAGGAAGGAGGAAGAAAATCAGCTTTCCCTTTTGGCGAACGAATTGCATGGCCTATAAACATAGCGTAATGGAAATGGACGATAACTGCCGTTCTTAACGAATCTCCTCCAGATTAAAGACATGAATTTCCATGTTGCCATCGTGTGTCCTCTTATCCCCATACACTCACACACTCGTAGATTTTATTATCATTGCGCGTTCCGGGTAATACTCTTTTTTTACTTGCTCCTTGCTCGAAGCACTTCTGGATGTGCAGAGTTGAAGGGAGTGTGTGTGTGTGGGTGGTTGAAGGGCAGCGCGGACGAAAGGGGGTGTTAGTATGAATAGCTAAGCAAGTCCGAGTGTCCGTCCGTCTACCGGATCGATACAGCATCCCGCGGATCCCCTGCTCCTCCTCCACCACCTCATCGTCCTCCTCATCCTCCATCTCTTCCTTAGGGCAGCACGTTGTCCCCTTCGCACTGCCCAACCCCCCGCAACGTCCGCTGCCTCCTACACACACACACGCATTCGCTCGTCCGCTCTAAATCCGAGACCGCTTCCCTCCCCCCATCCGCTTCACAATCTAAAAACCGTCCCTCTCCTACATCTCCACGTGTATAGTTCTCTCTCTGTGTCTCTCTCTTTCCCTTTTGGCGAGTGCCGGCGCGCACTTTACACTTCCCGCAGGACTTTCACTCTCCGGACTTTCTCCGCTCGCGCACGCCGTCCTCCTCCTCCACAACGCCGCGTCGTCCTTCGCCAACCTACATCCTGCAGGATCCGCGCTTAAAGCGCTCCACGCTGCCAAATCACACCGTGGATTTGCTTTCTATTTGTTCCGATGTTTCTACCTCACTCTTTTTTTTTTCCTAAAAACCTGCAAACTCCATCACGCATAAATAAATACTAATCAACTCGTTTCTTCTCTCTCCATAACTCCTAATCTATGTCTACAAACAAACAAAAAATTAAATCTAAATTACTGGACAAAATGTAATTACTCTAATCTTTAATGAGTACTAATTGAGAATTGTTAAACCTTTATACTCTAACGATATTTTCGGTTTTTCCATTTTGTCAATTTTATAATTTATTTGAAATATATTTTCGATAAATTAGGTATTTTAGATATTTTATAAAATATCGAAAATATTGATTATGTGGCATGACGTGAAGAAAATACCAACAATGTTAAAATTAAAGTGTTAAAAATAAAATGAAATGAACACCCTGAAAAAAGATATAAGTCAAAATACAAATATAGAATAAGAAAAATGTAATTGATTATAAATTCTCACCAACAAAAGAAAAGGACATTCTAGTAACAAAATAAAAAATAACATAATTATTCCTCATAATTTGATCAACGATTGAAAGTAGTCTTGATTCTTCGAGTTTTTTTTTTCAATTTTTACATATTGACAAACAATGATGAAAATCAATGTATTTGGGTCATATCCTTTAAATTTAAATGTTCACTGAAAACTAATTGTAATAGCAAAAGACATTAACATTCACGAATTGAATACACGGTGAAATATATAAGTTGGATATGTCGAGTTCATAACAGTATCCCAGTGACAAATTTCAAAATAGAGTGAATTAAAAAATAGTGCAAAAGAATAAGTGATGAAGTCCATCATTGTATTCTCATTTCTGCCTGCATGGTGGGGATTCTTACGAAATGCGCACCACCTCTAACGAGTTCACTAACTTTGACCCAGATATACTCGTCCCGCTCGCTCCCTTTCCATCTCACTCTCGCTCCAGCTTATAACAAACACCCACTTACTCTTTGCTCGACGTCCTCAAGGAAGCAGATAAAATCGTCTGGAGTCCTATTTCTCCATTTCCAACCTTTCCCACGCTCTTTAATCGTTTCCATCACCATCCATACAAAAGCCATATAAAACTGCAATAAGTCAAAAATAGAATATATATATCCATTGAAATCGGCGCCAGACCCAAATTGGAAATTGCCCGGCGCATCCACCGCCACGAAACATCCGTGAATAATTAAAAAGCTAATCGCATTTGATTGATTGATTGACGGTTGAATGGATGGACAATCAGTTTTGTGATTGATTCTATTCATAACCAAACGATCTACGCTGTTTAATCTATGCAGCTTGGAATCAGAGCAGTTTTACATGCATTATATTATTTACTATATCTTACACAATATTTTCGCCATACTTGACAAATATTTATTTGAAAATTGTAATATTTTTACTTAATAAGTATTAATAATGATTATATCACAAAATTTAATAAACACTAATTCGCTCGCTTTTAGATGCAATCTGAGCTACATTATTAAATCAATTATTTTGATACAAACTTATTAACATTTATTAATTTATTTTTTAGGCTGTTTAAAGAAACATTTTGAGCCGAAAATCGAAAAAGTGCCACAGTTACATTTCTTAGAAAGTAATGAGGGACAGTTGCGTCGCTAAGGAAATTGAATCATAACAGTGTGACCAACAGATACAAAAAAAACGCTGTGTACATAGGAGTGCGGGTCCATGAATATCAAGGGTAAAAAAGGGCTCGAGATTCTCTCTCGCCTTTCTGTATTTCTTTTTCTTTCTTTCTGCATTTTCTCGCTCATCCTGCCGCCTCCTGTTATTTTTTGTTTTTTTTATATATGTATATATAGGGGAAAAAGGGGAAGAAACGGACGGCCAAGTTATTTTTATGTCCATATTGTATGGACACCTTCGGAAAACAAACACCATCGGGTCCATCTACTTTGCGCGATATCTAAAATTTCCTTTTTCGAATGCGGGAGTAGGGATGAAGCGTGGGGGAGGGTGAGATGAAGAAGAAGAAAAAAAAACGGACCTCCGAAACCACCCCTCGTGTCCATCTAGTTGTGTGTGCGCGTTGTATTCCCAAAAGCGCAACGCCTGGTTATCAAGCGAGCGAGTGGTCCGTCGTCCTGCGAATTCAATTTCAATACGAGCTCTCAATCATGCATGGACGAGGGGGCGGTGGGAGGTAGGGTGGATTTGGAGCGTTGGAAGGCGGCAACGTCAAGCCTACTATGCGAACACCCCGCACCATCCTTCTCAGTTCACTCTGTCTCTCTCGGGGGGGTTGAATGTACTTAGAGGGGTTGGGGGCGGTAGGAGGCGGCGGACGACGGCCTCGGTGGTGGACATCAAAGTCTCTCTCAGCCCCCTCTCCCCTCTAAGACGTGTACTATTCCGATCGAGCGATGTTGCCGAACCTCCGTCGCCCCCGACTCTCTTCATCCTCTTTCACTCTCTCCACGATCGACGCTCACTTTGATCATGATCGACTGCCACGCACCGGAAACAATGACAACATTTATATTTTCATCGCCGAAAGAAGAAACTCTATACAGACATTAAAGAAATGGAACTCGAGTCCTCCAGATCCCAAAAAAAAAAACAATTAAGTGAAACAAACTTACTCAAATTTTAATGAATAAACAGTTGAGTTTCTAAAGACCATGGCAATTTGAAAATTATATGATTTGTTTTTAAATATTGACAAAAATCTTAACTAAATTAAAATGAGTTATATTTTAACAACTATAACGGATAAAATATAATAAAATTAGCTATCAAAATTGAATGCGTATATTGTACATGTTTCATAATAATTTAATGTTTAATTAATTATAACTTAAGTTTCTTAGAAAATTTCATTTAGAATTTGCAATAATGACAAAATCTAATGTGATAAAGTATTTTTTATCATAGTATTGTGTCATAACAAAGTAAACTGAACAAATTTGATACAATTTTTTGTTTAAGATGTGATAAATAATAATTGGATTTAGAGTATCAATGAATAGGGATATCAAGCGCACTTCAAACGAATCATTAAAGATGAAATCATAACGAAATAAAAACCTAATGAAAACAAAAAGAAAGAAACGTGAAAGTCGCGAGAGAGAAAAAATGTGGGGAAAAGAAAGGAAATCCTCCTGGGGGGAATCCGGGAATTAACTTAAATTAAAAATAATAAAAGAGAATAATTCTTCCTCTTCCGTTTTCCTTTTTTGTTTCTCCGTTTCTCATCCTTATTCTTCGCATTCTCGCATCTATCCACACTCAGAGCGCGCAGATTTCTGTGTTTGTTATGCGTGGCGGATTATCCCAAATGAAATTTGTTTGTTTTCTTCTACGCGTCTCCATATCTACTTGTTTATGTGTGTGAAAACCCCAGGAGTGAAATGAACACGAAGCGATTCTTTTAATTAATAAAATTCGCACTGAGGCAAATGAAAACGATGCAGAGAGAATGGAAAAAAATATAAGAGAAAGAGAGAGAAAGGAACTAAATAAATATACAGATCCTGGGTGGGAAAAAAAGGGAAACGAATTTTGGAGAAAATAAATAAAAGTGAAAATGAAACGCGGAAACGTGCCTGAAATTCCATTTATTTTCAGTCGGCGCGGAGCGACAATGAATTGGCTGAGGAGCGTCGACCGTGACCGATAAACACGAACAATCGACACAATTTCAGTGGAGAATTTCGATGCACGACAAACGCACTGATCTCGCGATGAATGAGTTAGAATATGGGATGGATAGGGTCTAGAATTATAGCGGGTGCAACACCTGGAATCATTTTTTTTTCTGTTTGTTTCCATCCACTAGAAAATATCTAAAATACATCTAGGCTGTACTTACTAAATAACTTTTGTCATCACATTCATTTTAACACATGAATACCAACCAACTACATTATTTTCTTACTAAAATCATTGAATTAAATTAGATAATAATGCAAATTTAAATCAATTTATGTCATTATTAGTGGATTTATTTTTGAATTGTGCGAACAATATTTATGTCTCGTATTATGTATAGTGTGGATGCAGCATTAGATTTAAATTAGGTGATTTTTTAATAATTTTTTTATTAAGAATTGAGTTTTCACTTGACATTTGATATTTAGACACCGGCATTTTCGGTGATATAATCGCGCATGTTGGCTACGCTGGAGTAGACTCCGGGACTCTCCGGACGAGCGCATCCGTAACCCCAGGAGACAATACCGACCAATTGTCCATTGACGACCAAAGGACCGCCAGAATCACCCTAACAACAAACAAACAAAATATGTTAAGAAACCATCCCAACAAACGTTTGCTAAGTAACATGACTTACCTGGCAGGCATCTTTGCCGCCTCCGTTGACACCGGCGCAGATCATGCGATCGGTGACGTCGTTTTCTCCATAAGCAACCCTGCAATCTTCCTGAGAGATGATGTCGACATGGACAGCCTGCAGCATGGATGGAGAGTTGCCTCCCTCGATGATGGCGCCCCAACCGGAAACGACGGCTTCGGAACCACCGGGAGTTTCCTGGTTCACTTGCGGCAAGTCGATCGGTTGAGCGTTGGATCCGAAGACGAATGGTTCGGTGAGCTCCAAGACGGTGATATCGAAGTCGAGGCTGTAGCTATCGAATTTGGGGTTCTGCAGGACAGACTTGACCTGGATCAGCTGTCCACCGTATCCCTTGATGGAGGAAGCGGCGCGCACGGCCAAGGATTCAGCAGGAGAACTGAAAAACAATAACAATTAAGCAACAACATTTTTGAAAACCAAATGAATGTGGTTACCCATTGGTGCAGTGAGCGGCGGTGACGGCAAAGTACTTGCTGATGATGGAAGCGCCGCAGATGTGTTTTCCGTAGTATTGAAGAGATAATTGGTATGGGTACTCTTCGATTTCGGCGGCTTCACCACCGACGATGCGACCATCCAAACGTGGGGTAAACGGAGATGCTACCCATATTGATAAATTCGTCAATAACATCTTCGTATCACGATAAAATTGTATAATAACTTACCAGCAGCTAAAGCCGCGAGGGCTGAGATGAGGACCAACTTGAACATATTGGTTTGATTTGACTGTAATCCCTTCGTGCTTCCGAATTTATACTAAAAAAAAACTTTCTTATCGTGCTCGATTCGGATTATGTACATTTTTATTTTTAGACTATTCTAATCCCTATCTGATTAATTTACAGCAAAACAATCAAGTGCTTTCTAAAAATGATTAGTAATTAAGATTGGATTCACATTTTTTTTTATTATGTTTACCTACCAATATTTATTTACAATCTATAAATTTAATCGTCTTAACAACATGAGTGCAGTTTATCTTTTGAAATATATACAAATAACTTTTTGCTCGTCTAATTTTAGTCACAATTTAATATTTAATCCAAAATGATTTTCATTGTTTCGCCTATTTGTGGTAAATTTAACGTTTAGAAAATAAAGGCAATTCCGCTAATAAATATTAAACAACTTTCAATTTATTCATTAGAAGCAATGTTTTTTATTTAAAAAAAATGTATTATTACAATGTTAAGTTTTGTTTAACTGAATCCTACAATTAGTGTACATATATCACTATAACTTTAACATATTTTAGTTCTAGTTTTCCAATCAATTTATACAAAAAAAAATATGAAAACAACACGATTTTCTACAAATGTTTTCTTTCAATTTTTGCTAATTCATATGAAAATCCTGAATATTTAGTCATAAACTAACTTTACATTTGTTTGCCTTTTACAACCTGTTTTTTTACAATGTTGTCTAATTTCTTGGATAACTTGCCAATGATGCATTCCATCTAATCTTAGAAGGAAGAGTAGTTGTTGGGCCCTTTTTCTTATTTTTCTCATATACCCCTTGACGAAATAAAGAAGATCGTGCTCTTTTCTTAATATTAGTTCCTTTTGCTTCTTTACATAAGAATTCTACTATCTGGGTTAGATATTCCAAAAGATCAATTTAACACCTCTTTGCTATTCCCGAAGATTCGCTGTCTTTGCGATAAAGTAGTCAGCGACTACTGATAATTGATAATTACTAGATCAATAAAATGAGAAATGAAACGGTGATACCATTTTATTGATGTTTTGTATTGATACATTCGGCGTTAAGTCTAATTTGTCTACGTTTAATTTGTATCTTGAATTTAAATACATTCTCTTCCCTAAGACTACTTAAAAAAACATAACTTTTTATCGTTTGTTTTGCTATCATCAAGGAGATTCCATTACCAGGATATCTATGTTGACTATAACGATTTGTTTTTTTTTATATATATATTGATGGCTTTCTCTTTGCTATTAACTGTTTCCTAATGGAGATCATTGTGTGCTTTGTTCGTTGCCATTAAAAACTGACGATCTTTCCACCACATTTAGACTTCAATCTTTCTAATAAAATATTATTATTTTCTTAACCCTTTGTGCGCAAGATTTGTTTAGTCGATTTTGTTGTATATATTAGGTTAAAAATGTGTAATATATTATCTTTTTTTAATTTATATATTATTTTATTATGTAAAATTAACAAATAAAAACAAACAATTTTATTACTTTTTAACAGAAAGCAGGAAATTTATTAAGATTTATTTCTAGAAAAACATAATTGATATTAAATTATAAAAAAAATACATATTTACTTTTAATTCGTTGTAAATTTTGGATTAAATTAAGTTTGTTTTGAGAGTGAGAATAACGAGAGTGATTAAATTAAATATAGATTTTATTTTACTAGTTCTTAATTAAACTGAAAACTTAGATTTTTGGTTAAATTTAATGCACAAACAATGGCTTTTAGTTTCGTTGATGTATAATATTAGTAAAACTTTTGGATTCTCTTTGATACCGGATAATTGAATGTGTGCGAAAGGTGGCAATTCATCTATCATCATCAACGTGCTGGAGAGGGTTGCGGGGCTTGTGGATGATAATATTTAGTTTACGTTGATGTTCCTGCTGCTGCGGGGGTGTCGAATTTGAATAAGTGCGTGTGTTTGTTGTCTCGAAGAGAGTGAGAGAGGATGTTTTCGTGCGTGTGTGTGTGTCTCGGGGGTCGTGCGCACACACCTCCGGTGGCCGCAGCGGCCCTCGGGGGTGGTAATGTAGTGGCGGTAGCGGCGGAGGAGGCTGAGGAGGAGGCGGTGGTGCCGGTATTGATTGAACCGGGCGATGTCCATTCCAGCAGCCACCACCGAGCGTCTAAATTATGCGTGAGTATGCGTGAGCTTCGGGCACTGACTTCGCACATCTGGGACCGAACGGGAGAAAACCGACCGCTCCGCCGCCCCCAGCCGTACACTCGTCCCTCTTTGAACACATTCACGTCCAATGTTGGGAGGGTAAATCAACCGCCTCCCGTCGTACACACACGCACATAATCACTAGAATCAACAGAAACGTTTTCGCAAAAAAAAAAAGAGGCGAGATAGAAAGAGAGACTCATATCTGAATGTATGCTTATGGTCAACGAATTAACAGCTGTCCATTTGTTCCATTTCTATGATAAAAAAATATCAGTTTTAAAAACGTCAGAACTGTCACTAAGCCGTTGAAAATGGGGATCATCCTGGTGGGTCATAAATTATGTATAATAGTTTTGTCGCTATGCACGCCACTGATTTTGACTGAGTATAACCTCAAATATCTTACGTAAATTGCAAATTTTATATATTTTAATAATTCTTGAAGCAATTTATAATAATTCGTGAAATTGTAACATAAAGACACATTTCTCATAATTGTTACAAACTGTTTAAATATTGTTAAAAAATGTATATGCGTTTAAAGTTTCTAATTGACGTAAGATATTTAACTTATCACTGTGTCAAAATCATAACATGTTAAACCACAATAATTATAAATAAAATAACAATTAAATAGAGAAATACAAGAAAAATACTATATAACAAAAGAACATGTAAATATTACGTATATTAATCAATTTGACAGATGTAATTGTTTCAATTCAATTAAAAATAATTGAATATTATGATACTACAGTTGTTAAACGTTTTATTTTGTTTCAAATATGGTAGCAGTTGACCTAATAGGATGTCATATCAACAAACATCAAAGTGTTAAGTAACAAAATATTAAAATGAAATAAATTATAATAAAATATTTCTAATTTATTTATCATTTATTTTCGAATAACACGCATATTTGTATTTTTGGAGTGTGATTGAAGCATCTTGATTATATATAATGTATTTTCGGATATTATAAAACACCTTATCAATTGTTTGTTTTTTATAAATGTGTACATTTTAACCTTGATGATTAAAACCAAAAAAATATTTGGGATATTTTTCGTCAGACTACTTTGGGATACTACAATAATTATCATTCCTTTCTATAGATTATTGATATAAATATAAGTATGATAATTCCTAATTTACTTAATAATTTAAATTAAGTTTTTAATTCAGAAAGGATTTAATAGATTAATGTAATTTCATTTAATATACAAATCAATGATCCAATAACCGAAAATTACTTAAAAATATTATCAATAACGATAATATTAACAAAAAACTAAAAATATAAATAAATAACAAATAACAAGTGATATGATTTATTTGATTTTTTTTTCTTTCATGAAAATTTCGTATGTCAAACAAAGTAACCAATTATTTTTTTTTACTGATTTTTAATTTTCATTCGTTTTAACTCTTGAAGGGTCATACATTTCTAAATTTCTAAATCACTGAATCAGTCAACTAATTTTATACTATTTTATTTTTAATAATGGTATACAGTGGAACCTGTGGAACGAGTTTAATCCGTTCCAAAATTTCCTAATTTTTACTCGTAATGTAAAACATATTCAAAAATACACATAATATGTGTACACAAGTTTTAAAAATGATATAGCACGCGCGCAATCCGGGACTTCTTTTCTGATCGTCACTCGTTAAGCGTGTCATTTTTGTAACAATTTATTTTGCTCGTTCATCGTGCTCGTTAAGAGAGGTTGAACTGTATTTATGGATATTTTCTATGTACTCTAATGCCGTTACGAAACTGATATACGATATTGTATTTTTGAAAAAAAAAAACATGAAATTTTCTTCTTGACAAAACTGTCATAGGAATGTTGATCAACGATGGGGGAGTTTCTTCGAAGTCTCCAGACTTCACCTGACCTCGGGTCTCTCCATATAAATATGCCGATGGAAGAGGGAAAGATATAGAGATGGAGGGTAGCTTGGACACAACTTTTCGGCCGCCCCGCAGTTATTATTACGTAATCTCGACGGGCCATTTCCATGCGGTGTTTTCTGCTTGCGTTTGTGCTGTGTGCGTGTGTGTGGGGAAGGAAGAGGGAGAGTTGCGTCGAGGGAGCAATCCCCCCGCGACCCCCCTAAACGCTGCGCTGGGGCCACTAGATTGAATTTTCTTATTTTATTTTTACACCCTTATACCTCTTTTCCAGCGGACGCCCGGCGCCTCCACGAAAAGCACGAGCGGAAAGGGAGAACGTAAAGAAACAAACGAATACGAAGGGAAGAGAAAAATATCTCGTCCTACCGCCCAAACCTCCCCGCTTTTTTTGAAGCAATCTAATTCGGCCGTGTCTCGAATTTGAGTCTACGGAATGGACTACGCACGCTTTTTTTTCCGACTGCGATACACTTCCTGTTTTTGGAAACGATGTCCAACGAAAGGAAGCTTTGGACGTTGTCCACAACGGAAATTGCGAGTAAGGTAAATTGGAAAAGTTTCTGTTGTTTTTTTTTCGTTCCTTATGCAAACTGTTTCGAGAGGTGCAGGAACAGTGTGAAACGAAACGGAGGAGAAGAAGAAACTATTAGCTGCCGCTAATATCCTCCACACAGTGACAGTAAATGGGAAATAATTAAATTTTAAATTGAATTAAATTCGATCGCCAGAGTCAGGAACGCGTTTTATTGTCTGCTCTGTCTCTGTTCAACTTGCGGGAACGCCACACGAAATGTCTCTTTCTTGCAATCTTTTTTGTTCTTGTAGGTTGAAACTGGAAGAGGAGATGGAGTAGGATGAGGAGGACGTTTCCGGGAGAGGGCATTTCCTGTTTCGGCAATCCGGAGGGCGCGCGCGGTCCCGACACTAAAACACAGTCATAAAAACACACAAACCAATTTAGTCGCTCTTCCTGCAGGAAACCACCCCTCGAACGCACGCACTCACACACATACACACCAACCCATACGCACGGTATGTTGCACAGCCTTACAATTTCATTTCACCGCTCACGTCAATCTCCCTTCCTCGGAATTTTCATAATCAGATTACTGAGGAACTGGAACGAAATTGGAGTGTCTCTTGACCACTTGACCAAAAGATAGTCCCTAATTGACAGTTAACAATTTGCTACATGCCAGTGCGTTCATAGGATTCATTCAAATGACGAAAAAAATATTCGTATTAAAGTTCTTTACAATTGTTAAACTAAAGTTTAGTGTAATTCGCTAATTTAAGTCTTAACAGTTTCAACGTTCAGTTAACATTGCTTTTTATTTAAACTTAGATACTCCAAACGTCAAATTTCATTATTGCTAATGATTTCTTGATTTGTAAACTGAAACATAACTCAATATTTTAAAATGTCAATTTGACGTACAAATTAAACTTTTTTATATGAATTATTTTTTAATTTATTATAAACATAATTGTTTATGCCATTACTGATTATACATTTTTTTAACTTTATTTGATATAAAGAAAATCGAGATTGCAATTTTTTGGTAATTATTAATCAACGTCAACGTCACGGTTAGGTTAAAATATTCAATAAGTATTTTGGGCGATTACCTATACATATGTAGGCAACATCACTAACATCCTAGATTCAATGCAAGCTCTTGTTCAAATGCCGATAGATGGAGCAATAACTTCATTTTAATAATGTTGACCTCACCTTATCTTTTAATTAAACACAAATGAAGGACAGTGTCTGTTGGGACATAATGTCTCGTTAAATTATTATATTAATTCTCACACAATAAAAACAAAATAACAAAATCAGACATACGGAAAATGAAAAGTATTGCAATTATCTCGGGTCTATATCGCAAGCCCGACAACCGAAATACCGTCGATCGAAATCCCGACGTTCAAAATCCCGACTATATCAAAAACTCGACAACCATAATCCCCACTGTATTAGAATCTCGACAACCATAATCCCGACAAACATAATCCCGACTATATCAAAATCCCGACTGTATCAAAATCTCAACTATATCGAAAATTTCTAAAATAACATTTTTAAATTATTTCGGAGCGTATGTTATTGAAGACATTATCGATATAGTCGGGATTGTGGTTGTCGGGATTTTAATATAGCCGGGATTATGGTTGTTGGGATTTCGATAAGTCGGGATTTCGAACGCCGGGATTTCGATAAAGTCGGATTTCAAATGTCGGAATTTCGAACGTCGGGAATTTGATTGACGGTATTTTGGTTGTCGGGCTTGCGATTGCCACAGGTTATCTCATATTTCTTACGTTCCGTTCGCCTATGCGATCTATTCGTTTGAGTTCATGAAGTGCGAATGCGTAAAAGTAAATCCGTAAATATTGAAAGTTCTCTCACATAGATGGCACTACAGTGGATCTGAAAATACTCATTATATTATCTATTATAGCCAGCTACGATTCATTTATATTATTACAAGTTCGGTACTACATATATTAGTTAATAAAAAATAGAATTAACAATTTTACAGTCCACTGCTCAGTAAATCTAAAAATAATGCATTAAAATAAATAAAAATTACTAATATATTCTTACCCTTACATTCGTTATTTCCTGATTAGCAAATGTTTAGATATTTCATACGTCTCTACTAATTAATTTCTTTATTTTGCAGAAGAGATAACATAATGAATCAGATATTGTTTTTGCAGCAAGTACTTGGGTAGTTGGTATCGAACCTACTCAATCCAGCATGTAAAAGTACCAACAAAGTCAGGAACAAAAAAGGATATTTTGTTGGCATAGGGCCTACTCAATTCAACCCCCGTAATGACTAACGAAAAATGATCTGAAGCATATTAGATAGGTGCAGTATTTTCAATACAATATCTGTATTTTTGGATATACATCCTGGAACTGGACAAGTGTATCTCATTTATGAATAGTTATATTTGTTTACAATTGTGCAATACATTTTAAATATACACTTACTGGAGTTTACTTGTAGTTCAGTTTATTTAAATCCTAAATGAAATTCTAAATAGCCTAAAACAAATTAGTAAATTTATCCCACCTTATAGTCCTCACAAATGTTTTTTCAATCAGATTGGAAAGTTAATTAAACAATACTCATTAATTAATAGACTAATCACTAGTAATACAAGTAATACAAAATGTATGCGAAAGTTTTTTATTGTTTGAAATTTAAAATTATTTGGCGCTATTATAATGTATTTGTTGCGCCGCGCTATGTGCTTTCCAATGTACTAAGGAACGCCACCGCACTGTTATACAACAGTTTTCTCATATGACTTAGTCCCCCTGTATCCATATCACCAAAATGTTTTTATGTATTTAAAAAAACACACCATTAAAAAAGAACATTTTAATCATTTTTACGATACACTTGGATCTCGTTTTATCGCACGTGGCGACTACAATGCAAAACATCAGCACTGGAGCTCTAGGCTAGCCATAACCCGAGGAAGAGAGTTGCTGGAATGCATGGTTTATAAAAATCTTAATCACTTATGATGAACAGGTGAACCAACGTTCTGGCCCACAGACAGAAGAAAAATTCCAGTCGCTCTTGACTGTAATGTTCTGTGTAATGAAAGGGATATCTAAAAACTATACCAAAATCAAGCAAAATCAGACCACTCCCCAATAATTGTATCATTATGCTCAAGAATGGCGAAAATTACAAAACTACCAATGTGGTATAACAAAGATACCGACTGGGAATCATATAAAGCTTTAGTAAGGGACAAGATATTACTGAACAGACCACAGATCTCGACGAAGCCGTGGAACACCTAACGCAGACAATACAAACATCTGCTCATCACTCCACACCGGAGCACACAAAACAGGAAACGTATAACATTTGTCCACTTTTTATTAAACGTTTGATTGCATAAAAACGCAGACTTAGATGAATATGATAAAATAATAGTCTCCCAGAAGATAAAACAAACTTAAACAGAGCTGCATCTAAACTGAAAAGGCTGCTTAAAAACATCAAAAATGAAGCAGTAAAACAGTACTTGATAAATCTGACGCTCACCGAAGCAACAGATTATTCCGTGTGGAAAGATACAAGAAATCTAAAACAACCGCAGAAAAGAATCCGGAAATTCGGGCAAGAACATCACGATAAAGCAGAAAAGTTTGCATGTCATTTTAGAACTATATTTAAACCACTTCCAGCGCAAGTCTCAACGGAAAAAGATAAGGAAGTTGAAGATAATAAGGGGAAAACTATTGAAACTCCCATTGAAAGGAATTGTTTTGATCACTCAAATATTTACTATACTACGTACAGGTTACTTTCCAGCGCAGTGGAAAGTTGCACAAATTATAATAATAGCTAAACCAGGAAAATCTGACGAAGAGATTAAGTTGTACAGACCCATAAGTCTTCTACCGATATTATCAAAAGTTTTCGAAAAAACGATTGCAACCTATTATAGCGTCAAATAAGCTGATGCCAGCAGAGGGCCTGCATAAGATAAGGCAAAAACTAGTCGTTTTATTTTGAGTTGGTATTAACTTGTAGTCTATGTGTTTAGAGAGAAGAAGATTTTTTTAGTGATTTTTAGAGCAAATCGGTTGAACTCAAGACGTTCGGAACCACTCGGAACTATTTCAGATGTTTACTTCCGTTTGTTTCACGATTACAAATTTTCAAGTTGTCCGTGATTATGCGTAAGTTTGTTTTATTTCGCTCATTTTTATTTCGTTATTGTCAAGAACACAAGCAAGTAAGTAACATTTCTATTATTCTTTTTATATGTATGGTCTAAGAACAATTTAATTAATATAGTTGTGTATTAGAGTGGTTTATAGTTGTTGCGTCCAAAGATGTAAAACTAAAAGCGGCCAGAATATAAAGATGAGAAAATTTATTAATTTTCTTTAGACTCGATGGTGTATGATCCATGTAAATGTGAACCATCTATTTTTCAATACATTTAAATCAAAACTAATCAGAATAGTAAACACCATCTACCAAGACCTGGAAAGTAAAAGATACAAAGTTTGGCATCCCGGACTACTATATAAAATAAAGAAGAACCTTCCATATAATCATTTTAAAATAATAAAAGCATACCTCGATAATAGAATGTTTCAGGTAAAAATAGGAGACGAATTCACCGACTTATATACATTAGAATTTGGGGTGCACGGCAGATATACCTAAAACTAACAATACTAAAATTGCAACATTCGCTGATGACACAGCAATCTTGGCATCAGATGAGAATCCAGCAGTAGCATCCGAATATCTACAGGAAAATTTAGATAAGCTACAAGAATGGCTTAAAAAATGGAGAATAGCATGAAATCCGTGCATATCACATTCACGCTAAAGAAAGACACCTGCCCAACTGTAAGACTTAATGGACAAGATCTACCCAAAGCAATAAAAGTCAAATATCTAGGCATGCATCTAGACCAGAGGTTCCCAAACTTTTTTGTGTCGTAGACTGCTTGCCATGTTTTTCGGTTTTGGGTAGACCCCCTACTTACCTGATATTGATTTTTTGTAAATTTATTATTTATATTGGGACATCTTTATAATCATTAAGATCTTTGCTCTGAGACTGCGCGTTTGCATGTAACAAAATGATACTGGTGTATTATTATGTGCAGGTTTTTACAAGTTCATAATATGGTGCGATCACAAAGCGAATGCCTACATCCTACAACTTACACAATTTTATAAACATATATAATAAATGTTTTACTTTATAGGTATTTTTATAAATAATGTATATGTCTTTATATTGTAAGATAGTATAATGTAAGTAAATAGGTACTATCAGTGTATGTTGAGATCCACTATCGTGGACCCCCATTTTTATTTCATGGACCCCAAACTTTTTTTTCGCTGACGTTGATCCCTTGCAGGTTGTCATAGACCCCTGGGGGTCGATATAGACCACTTTTGGAATCACTGATCTAGACAGAAGACTCACCTGGAAAGATCACATTCAGGCTAAGAGGGAGCAATTAGAAATAAAGTTTAGAAAACTCTACTGGCTTCTAGGGAAAAAGTCGGAATTATCAGTGGAAAATAAATTACTTATATACAAAGCAATACTGAAACCAGTATGGACGAAGGGTATCCAATTGTAGGGTGCGGCCAGTAAATCGAACATACAAATTATACATGGTTCATCAGAAATAAACAAATACACGAAGATCTTCATATAGATATGGTCGAGGATACAATAGCTACATTTAGTAGTAGATACCAAGATATACTGCAGTCACATACTAATATTCTGGCTATTGGCCTATATATACTGTATAGTTATTTTTTGTTTTTAACGTTGGCATGGGAGATATTCGTGTGTGGCAGCACTTTATGTGTATTAGACTCGGTTGGCGAGCCACATCTGAGCATCTGTCGCTTGGATCTGCTTTAAGCTTCTTCAATACTTTCGGTACTTTCAATCGACGATGTTATTTCTGCAGTTGGCAGTGCCGCTTCCTTGAGCGCCCTCTGTAGACGACTCCGCATATTCCTGACAGCGCCCTCTATTGATGGTTTGGCATAACCGTGGTCCGTAGTATGTATATTCCCAACAACTACACCTAATATCCGAGGATGTTTACAGGGCAATACTTAAGTTTCTGAAAACATCTAATGCATATATATAGTGTTAACGTGTCAACCTTTCTAATTTATACCTTTCCGAGGTCTCTCCAAGAACCTGAGTACTGAACCGCTGAGACCCCGGTTCGAAAGTCGTTATATATTTGTGTTCGACCTGTTATCTTTATTGTCTTTACCTGTCTTGCCGTATCTCTCTTACGTACATTTTTAATAGAAGTCAGTTTAGTTTGAATTAATAGTTAATTTTTAGTTGAGTTAGAATAAGTTCTTTATTTTGATTAGTCGTGCTGAAGAAGGAAGTTTTGGTTCATGGGAGAAGCTGGTTAATTTAATTAGTAGGGCGGAAGAAGTAATCCGAAGTATAAGTTAGTTTGTGTTCCGAATGTAGACAGTGGCGCGCAATGCGGAAGCCAAATGAAAAAGGGGAAGGAAGAAGAACTACACCTAACCTAACATTTTCTCGGATCTAGGGCACTAGAGTGGATAAGGCAATAAATACGTCTATAAATGATTGTGATTTACTTATAAAATATTGAGATATCGCGTTTCAAAGTAGGATAATTGCAAAAATATGCAACACATTACCAGATATCACAAAAGTTTTTGAAACAATGGCGTCAAAAATAGTCATCGCCATCTCCCACCATCAACGTTCCCAAAAGTAAATAAAACAATTCAATTCTTTATTCTCTCTTCGCCGTTTCCGTTTCAGCCGCGTAATGCGTGATGAACCTTGCGGAAGGATCTGTAATGCCCTCGCACCACCTGGGCATCCAATAGTAAGGGATGAAGGATTCCGCGCAATTCGGGTAGTGACTCTCGAACACCTCGCGGTAATACAGCGCTTCTTTGGATGTGGGCGTGCAGTGAGGATACACGCTCTTCGCCGAATCCTCGTTGAACGTCAACTCCGGCCTGCGCTTCTCCACCAGTTCCTGCAGGATCTGGAAAAGCGATTTGGATCGAGATGTCACGCCGTCGCTGAAGGCCTCCTTGTGTCTCCAGAGGACACTGTCGGGGAGCACATTCTGATCGGCGAACGCCGATCTTAACAGATACTTTTCAAACTTTCCATCTTTGGGTCGAATCATCTCTTTGGGTAAACTCAAATAGTACTCGGAAAATTGAACATCAAGGAACGGAACCCTAAGCTCCAATCTAAAAAAAGATGCGATTTTATTTATTTAACTGTATCGATTAAAAAAGCAGGAAAGACTAACCCTTGAGAACTGATGGTTCTGTCTGCTCTCAAACCATCAAATAAATAAATCTCCTCCAACAACCTAATGCTGTCTTTGTAAGCCTCCTCGGCGTTGGGCGCGACTTTGAAATAAATATAGCCTTGCGCCACTTCATCAGCGCCTTCACCGCTGAACAAAACAGTCGTGTCGGTGTTCTTCTTAATGTACCTATATAATCACCAACAATTACTTTAGTTATATTTAAGGTTTGCATTTAACAATTACCTAGCAATTAGATACATGACAATAGAAGCTCGAATCGTAGTAATGTCAGGTGTTTCGAGCGTATAAATAACTTCATCCAGAACATCTTCGACATCTTTCTCGGTAAATGTAATCTCATGATGTTCAGTATCAATGAACTTGGCGACTTCCCTAGCCGCGACCAAATCGGGGCTATCCCTCATACCAATCGAAAAGGTCTGAAGAAGAATTTATAAAATTATTACGCTGAACTTTAAAACACTATAAATTTAATTACCTGAATCTTGTAAGGAATGTTAGCTTCCTTGGCGGCCTTCACCAAAATCGAAGCGGTTAACGAAGAGTCCAAACCACCGGAAAGTAAGCAACCTAGACGCCTATCCGCCATCAAACGCTTCTTCACAGCCATCTCAAACAGTTTCCGGATGTTGACCAAATGATCGTTCGGAACAACATCTAGGTGTACGTCACGGATTAAATAATGAAATTTTTACCTGTCAGTCAACGCAACTCTTACCTTCGTACGCAATGAATGGCCTTTTGAGCATCCTCTCTCCAGGTTTATGGAACACCTTCTCCATGACAAGAGTCGCCTTTCCATCGTCGCTCAGGCTGTATTCGGCAATGGTTCCCGGCTTGAACGGTTCGATCACCTTCTTCTCGCCGTTCAATTCATCAGTGATCGGAACCAAACCTACGAATGAAACAATTATTGATGTAAATAGCTAACTTTTAAAAATTATTGTTTACCTTTCGCTTCAGAACAGATGGCCAGCACGCCAGTTTTTGTGCGCAAACGGAACATGGGACGAACGCCGTACGGATCACGTGCAATAATCACTTTCTTGCTTTCCATGTCAACGATGCAGAAAGCGTAGACTCCATCCAAATACTTGGTGCATTCGGTGCCGAACTTCTTGTACAAATGCAGGATGCACTCAACGTCACTGTTGGTCTCATATTTAAATCCAAATTCTTCCTTCAACTGCAAAAGAGTAGTAAAACATTAATAAACAGCATTACCAATTGAACAGTTGTTTGTAGATGGCGCTATCTATCACCTGATCAGTTACATGCAACCATAAAAACAGATTTTTTTATATTGACATATTAAATTAATTAATTAACTAGCATTTGTCAACTATTTAAACTTTATAATAAGAAATATTTAAAATTTCATTTTCATAATATTCAAATAGCATAAACTGTAATTACGCAATTTCATATTTTTTTTTGCTTCCGCCTGCTATCTCCCTCTAGGAGGAGCCTCTTCCATTAATATATTTTTTTTTAAGTGCGTTAAAATAAATTAAAAGCAAGTGCATGCAATTGACCTTTTTACAGTTATACAATTCTCCATTGCAAATCAGCAAGGTCATCGGGTATTGGTGAAGTCGCATCGGTTGCATACCGTAAGTGCAATCCACTATAGTTAATCTATGAAATCCTATGCAGCAGTTCTAAAAAAAAATGAATGAATCATCAGAATAAATATATTTTATTAGCGAAAATATTTTATACCTTTAATCTGTTGTCGTACTCGATCCTCCAGGCATCCGGACCTCTGGCAGTGATTTTCTTGAACGCCGAAGAGCATTTTTCACTGATGCTATCAGCTATCCCAAATATCGCCCAAATTCCGCACATATTTAGTTAACTATCTAATCTGCAAGAGAAAAAATACTTCAATTTTTAACCGTTTCAGGTGTGCAAACAATTTCTGTTTATTGATAAGTCAATATAAAAATCCATATGGAATAAGCGTGTACGTGTACTTTTCAATATAGTAAACACATATTGTAAATTTAATATAACAGATGCTATATGACGTAAAACTAGAAGATCTTGCTTAGCTCGAGTTACTTGGTAATTAATATACAATTAGTTTAAATTGTTTATGATTGATTAAATAAACTAGTTTGTATATAAGAAATATGATCTAGCATATTGCAATCACTTGATGATAAAAACACTGGTAACATAGCAACAGTTGCTAAGCAAATTTTAACTAACTTTTACAGCTTTTAATAGTTTCCGTTAAGAATTTTTACTGCACTCGTTATTGATTATTTAACCACGTATTCACAAAACGGTTATTTTTTTTTTGCTTATCACAGGAAAAAGAAAATCGTACGCCGATTGTTGTATGAGTATATACGAAACAATTGAAATTTGCTGCACTTACAAGTTTATATAATGAATGTAAAAATATCTGCACGTGGTGCAAAAATAGGTACTTGGATTTTTAATTTTGAGAGCGTTTCGAGCGCCGCACTTGCTCTTTAAATCGAACTAACTTTATAGATCTGGTGGCTTAATTTATACTAGTATTTTCCCACCACTGTAACTGACGCAATTCTTTAATCATATTTCAAATAATAAATTAAATGTTGTGCCGTTGATGAATTGTTCTATATACGCGGTACTTGTCAAGTAACATGTTAAGTAAATTTTTAACAAGAAAAAATCAAAAATATCAAAAATACTAATAACTAACTTATTTATTATTTACAAAAGAATTAAGTCATTTGTATCGGTGGCAATCGCAAGCCCGACAACCGAAATCCCGGGATTTTGAACGTCGGGGTTTTAATAGACGGCAGCGAAAGGTTCCAGAAATAAAGCCATAAGTATAAAAAAAAGGTTTTTTTTATTATTGACTAAAAAACTTCCCTCTTAGAAAAGAAAGTTTATATTCATTATTGATTATATAACCTAAAACTACATTACTTGTTTATAAGTGAGCGCTGTTTATTTTTAATTATATAAAAAGAAAAAAATATTAAAGAGTTACCTTAATTGAAGATGTTCTTATCTTAAGTTGTAGCACTGTTGCTTATCATACGTCTTCGGCGATGGCAAAAGACTAGATCTATGAGGATGTTTGCAGCGTGGGTAGTAAGTCCTATTCTAAACAGGGGTGGCGCAGCGTTGCCAAGTTAACCCTTGCAAATATATATATTTTCGCTGATGCAATATAATGTTCAAAGAAATATGTCATTCTTTTTATTGTTACTAAACTTCTGCTAAATGTTGATTAGATGAAGTACAAAATATAGTTTAAACGTTATCTTGAATTCTTGATATGAAAAACAAAGATAACATATTTAATCTGAAACCAAGTATTTTCCTGTTTGAAATTTAAAAATTGTTAATTTTGGAATTTTTAAATACTTTTCTTTTAATTTTAAGCGACTGAAATAAATAATTCAAATATTAATATGTTTAACGCTAAAAGATAATTTATCATTATAAATTAATTGCCAAAACAATATTATTTTTTTGCTAAGGGATGTCTGATTTTTTAGACGGCTAATCTTATCAAATTGATCCAATCAATATTCGACAATAACACTCGGCTCTGAATATATAGGAAACTTTATATATATTTTTGCTGATGCAATATGATGTAAGCCTGGGGACCAAAGACGCTGTGTAGTGGCGTGCCCTCGTAACTTTGAAAATCGAGTGGCGCCATCTTCAGTGGTTTCTATGCAACCTTAATTCAAACGAAAGCAATGGAAAGCCATATACCAAATGTATATTATAAGCGACTGGCAAACGGGTCGACAGGACCCTGCCAAATGGGAAGGGGTTTCCAGAAGGAAGCTCATTATTGAAAGAAGAAGAAGAAGAAGAAATGTATATAATATAAATGAACATTTAGTTGGCTAAATTTACAGAGAAGCTTGTAATTATTTATGTAATTGTATAATTTGCATTAAAAAGTAATATATAATTTAAAAGTAAATTATATATGTAAAATATCACCTTTAAATTTAATAACTGTCGAGAATATGGATGCCACAACCATACGCAACGGAGCTCACACTTTAGACGGTAAATATTTAGGTTATGTTTTGGTATATTGCTTTAGATTGCTTTCGTTTGAATTAAGGTTGCATAGAGACCACTGAAGATGGCGCCACTCGATTTTCAAAGTTGCGAGGGCACGCCACTACACAGCGTCTTTGGTCCCCAGCTCTACAGCATCAAAAAGATTATTGTTAATAATCTTTTTTACGATTTACAGGCATAGGTTTATTTAACGAAATATTTTTTTAATTAACTACACTTATTAGAATTACGTTTAAAACTGTACATAAGGTGTGAACTAAAATTTAAGTTTGATGCCTATGTTGGTTGACTGAATCGATTTAAGTTGCACTCCTGGATTAAATTTCGAATCAGTTCGGCCTGAAATTTTTTGCTGGTGACATTTCGAAAAGTTTTTTTGGACGAAGCAAAATTTACATTTTTTCTTGATCGCGAAAGCTGTGCGTGGTAACAGCCATGTACATGAGGCGGAGCGTCTCCAGCGTGGAACTGAGGCGCGCCGCCTCTTCGGGCGGTCGCCACTCTAGTTCCTCCGAGGATCGCGACAAGGCGCTTAACTTTGTTCGCAGCGCTAGCTGCAACTTTTTCGACATCACCAACGCCGCGAGCACTTTTTTCCGAAGCCCATACTCAAAATCGGCTCTCAACAATTTCTTCTACAAGTTGAAAACCCTTGAGAAGGAATGGTACGAGTTCGGGATAAGATTTGCCGACATCCAGCAGAAGAACGAGCAGCTGTGCATTGAGTAAGTTCTATTGTTTTCGGAAAGATATGTAGTTAATGGTTTGATTGTACGTTGAGGTGCGACAGGGAGAAGGAGAAATGTTCGATGTACAGGAAGAAGCTGATGGGTTTCAATCAGCATTCGCAGGGGAATCTGGAGCGTCTGACGAAGCTCTATGAGAACGTTAAGAATCTAGGCAAGTCTGACCAAATGGAGAAAGGATCTCAGACGGAGACGTCGGCTGCTTACAAACCGGACTCGTTAAAGGCGGCAAAGGACACGCTGAATGGAATAAAAGAGCTGGTGCAGAGGCGCGAGAATCGATACACGAGCAACGCGAAGAAATTAGAATTCCTCAATGAAACAATCGTGGATCTGAGAAGCCAAAACATATTGCTCACTGAGCTGTTGAAGAAATCGAAGGAATCTAAACAAGTTGAGAAGAAAGTCGAAAGGTTTGTCAAATCGATTCATTTAGGTAAATATCAGCTGAAGTAGCAAGAAAACATGTATATATATGACGTATGACGTCAACAATAGTAGGTTTCTTATCTTATCTGCGCTTATTCGTCGTAAATATTCATGATATATATTCTGAGATTAATTTATTATAATTTTGCGCGTGCAGCAAGAATTTCAGTTGCAATAAGCATGATGTTAAAAAGGTGTTGGAGAAAAAGCCTTTGGATGCGCAGCAGCGGAAAACCGTTGATTACAGACCGTTGAATAAGGAGGTGAAGAGCAGACCGGGAAGCAAGGAGTTCAAAAAGAAGCGGCCAAACACTGCCAGGTTTCAATTTAATTTACAATTTATTTAAGTTACACGTTGATATTATTAACCCTTTTTTTCAGGAAACCCAAAAGGGAGGATCCGAACGATCTGCTGAAGTACGTGGAGAAACCGTAATGTTTTTATCTGTTTTTATAAATAAATTTGATAATTGCTAATGTTTGTAGAGATGACGATAACTACGAGTTGGAGACGATCCTGTCCATCCGATCGATGCTGACGAACACTATCAAAGGAAGCAGCAGGACAAGCCATATGTCATCGATTCCTGCGACGCCGGAGGAGCAGAGACGCATCAACCAGAGAGGCGATTGCCGAGAGGTGGAGGTGCTCAAGAAAATTCAGCTGGAAATCGAGCGGAAGCAGGCGGCAATCAAGGAGAAGATAGACAAGTTCAATCGGCTGATAATTCAGGCGTAACCAAAAAAAATCAAATATAAACTGTGTTTCGATGTCAGTTGTCTGCCTTCTGGATGTCGGAGACGATTTTGTATTCTCCGCCGCTGTGCTTGATAACTATAACGTGCTCCAAATCGTTCAAATTAGGTTTTTCGCTGTCAATCTTTGGTTTCTCGCTGCTGCTTTCATCGTCCAGGATTAAGTATAAAGAGTTTCCTTTGAAAGCGCCCTGTACAGACCCTCCGCCTTCTCTGATCTTTTTCAGCTCGTACTCGATTTGCAGACTAGAGTTGAACTCGGGACTATTTACCACCTCGAAAAACTCGATTATTGTATTCGAGGGTTTCTTCGTTGCAACTTCGATTTGCTCATCCGCCTCTTCTTCTTCCTCCTCTTCTTCGTTTTCGATTAACGCAGTTGTTGTTGGCACTTCCGTTGTTGTCGTCGTCGTCGTTGAGAACTTCTCCAAATCTGCAGGTGACAAAGTGTAGACTGGTTTATCGTAAGTCTGTGGTCTGCTCAAATCTTCGTACACATAACTGGAGAACTGCGTTTGTATCCTCTGAGCGATGAACTCGATAATGGGTGGAAACTTGCTGACGGTGACGGTGGGCCACAGACTAAGACCGGACAGGAAAGTCGGCTTCGGGCTGACCGCCTGATCTGTGATGGCTCTGTCCAAGTATCGGCATTCCGCAACAATCGCCAAACCCAGAAGGGTCACCACTGAAGAAATCAACCTCATCGTTTCGCCTCGTTACCCGAAACTGAGAGCCTCTTCGTTAGATTATATTTTTATTATATATATAATCTACGTCCACACAGAATAATGTAATCGTTCCCAGTTCGGTATTCTGTTACGACGGACGGCTAACTGTAAATCGTTCGACGAATCGACTGGTTGTCTCTTGCGAAACCAACGGAACCCGGTCCAGTCGTCCTCTTTTACTTTCCGCTTAGGTCACTTGTTTTTTTTTCTCATTTAAATTGCATTTTGAATAACATTTTCAAATTTCAGAACGCACACATAAATAACATTATCATCATTAACGAACTACACTTTCTACTATCTGTTTAATAGTATTTCGTCGGAAATAATAATTTAAAAAAAAAAATAATAATCGAAGTTTAATAAATTAACAAACTGTTAATTTATTAAACTTCTTTAACTCTTGGAGCGGCGGTGGTAAACGCTTAAATTGCCTAGTAGGGCATTATTATAATGTTCTAGAAAATGTACAGGAAATAGGAATTAACATTAATTTTGGTTGGTATGTCCATACCATACGATGTTAATACAGTTGTCTAAAAATATGTTGGGTCTAGAAATTTAGGAATTTCTGGTCCCGCAAAGAGTTAAGGGAAGAAGTTTAATTAATATGCTGTTATGCTGTTTTTAACAAAATTTATCGAATTTTCTATAAAGTTAATCCTTGAATAAATTTTACGTTGACATATGTCATTGTAATTTATATTTGATTCGTTCGTCACGCATTTAATATAACACTTAACAATTGACACGGATACAATTAATACCATTATTAAAATTAAAATTTGAAGGAGCCAACTTATTCTTATTTGTTTTGTATTTATCGAAGATTTCACCGATCTCTAGTTAAAACTGAAATTAGCAAACTGATATTAATTTCAATTATTTCGAAAAAGTGGAACAGGCTTATCTTTCCAAAACGTTTATTGTTCATTAACTAGTGGTATAATACTTTACGGTGTTAATTAGTTGTTTTCTTAATGCTACAAAAGCAAGTAGCGTTTAACCTTAATAGGTGGTTCGCAGACTTTAGCATCTCTTTCTCCGTAATTATTCTAACGAGCTTAACATCTACCAAAAGAAAAAAGACCGCTTCTGTTATTTACATCTTTGCACTTTCGTTTTCGCACCGGCACCTCAGTTGAACTCGAAACCGGGCCATTTTTGTATACGTTCTTCATTTCAACGTCAAATAGAAATTCTGACACAGTTGCCACCGCCAAAGAAATAAGTGAAATTCGGTTATTTAGTACCTTACCGGATGACTCGGACGCACTTCGATCTGCTACCTCGACCGTGCTGCAGCAACAACAACTACCAATAGAGGAGGATTTTGCAGACGAATATTTGGTAAAAACCTGTTACGCGAAGAAAAGCAGAAAAAAAAGAAGATAGTTAAAATGAGGTCCAAAGTGGTTCTGGTAGTCTTGACGCTCGCCGTTTTCGTCCGCTCGAATCCAATTGATGCAAACCAGTAAGTTATTAGAATTGTTTTCATAGTGAATTTGTTATAATTCTTTTACTATTCAGATTGCAGATTACTTCTGCGCAAAGAGGAATTTGGGACGTCGTTGGGAATTGGATCCAAGGATCGGATTGGTTTCCTATACAGATCAACATTCCGCAGACGTTCGGCTCGATTGGAAATGGGATAATGACCTTTGCAAACGGAATAGTTCAGAGGATTCCCTTCATTAATAATAGGCCTGAAGTGGTGAGACCCAGACCCCACAACTATATGATCGTCGTTCCGCTACACAAGGATAACAACTACCTGAACGAGGAGGTGCTCACATATCCGTAGGTTTTAATTTATATTTGTATTTATTATTGAATCTGTTATTTTAATAAATTATTACACAAAATATATATATATATAAAATATATGTGGACGAAAAGTAGAGAAAATATAAATTATCACAAAACGTTAAGGATTATTAAGCGTGCACTTGGTAGTTGGGGTAGGTGGCGCCTCCATGCACAGCTGCGCCTCCCTTGAGCTGCTGATCGAAGAGAGCCTTGTTACTGTTGTAAACCTCTGACAGGGATTCCCTCTTCTGCTGGCCGTCCTTGGAAACGATGATGCCAACCGGGTAGTCGATGTTGTAGAAGAAGCCCTTTGGAGGACCTTGAGGTTCTTCGGTTTGACTCTCGTCCCAGCTACCGTCGTCTTGATTCTTCTGTTGGGCCTGAGGATTCGCGGCGAAGGATTGTTGGTTCTCGCTGTACTGTCCGCTGTAATCGATGTTGTTCTGGCTGGATTTGCCGAATCCTGCGGCTCCTCCAAATCCAGGTTTAGATCCACTTCCGAAGGCACCTTGGCTTCCTCCGAATGCTGGTTTGGATCCACCGAAAGCACCTCCTTGATTTCCACTTCCGAAAGCGCCTTGGTTTCCGCCGAAGGCTCCTTGGTTTCCACCGAATCCTGGTTTGGATCCACCGAAAGCTCCACCTTGGCTTCCTCCAAATCCTGGTTTTGATCCACCAAAACCTCCCGAAGATCCGAAGCTTCCTGATTGTCCAGCGTAACCTGGGTTACCGGCGAATCCTGGTTGTGCTCCTCCTGGACCAAGGCTGGGGCTTCCGTATTTAGGAGCTCCTTGACTCAAACCGCTGACGGCGGAATATCCGCCAACACCAGCTCCGACTCCGGCACCGAGACCTGCGTACGCTCCAGGTTTGGCACTTGGGTACGGGTTCCTAAAATCAAAGAAAATCAATATTTCTTCCACAAAAACTTCAAACAAACACTTACTGAATAGGCTTCGAGTTTCTCTCGGCTTCAGCGGCCCAAATCCTGGCGTGCTCCTCTTTGGCGGCCTTAACTTCGGGACTGTCGTCGATCTGCTTTGGCAAGATCTTTGGTACGTTATCGATCTGGTGGAAACCATTTCCGTTATCCCAATATTGCACCTTAATCTCTTGTCCGTCTCCGGCGATGTAATTGTAAGATCCGGTCAAATCACCGCCTGCCTTCTTCTTCTCAGTCTTCGCTATATCAGGAACGGAATACCCGTACAAATAACCCCCAACGCCGTCCTGTCCATGGTACTGATTGGCAAGGTAAATATCCTCCTGGACGTGGTGCGGTTCATTTCCCAAATACCTGACAGCCGGCACATTTGACTCGATCTTCGGCGCATACTTCAAAGTCTGATCTTTACTATCGATGATAGACTGCGCTTCTGGAGGATCCAAATCCAAAAGACGGACATCCTCGGCGTGCACCCAGCAGATCAACAGCACCTGATAAATTCATCAATTGTTTCAATACCAATATAAAAATTTGACGTTTACATTATCAATTATATATTTTTTTTCTTATAAATGTCAACAGCCGGGGGAAAAACCCGCAGCGAATTAGAAACCGCTATTTATAAATAATTGAATAATTGAAACTGGTATTTTAATAATCCCGGATGGAGAGGATGATGATGCTCGTGTGACGTGCGCAGCTTGGAAAGACGTAAACTTGACTTTTGAACTTAGCGCGCAAATCCGTTCACTGAACTTGACACTGACAACCAGATCAATGTGCAGTCGTTTCTATCTCAAAAATTCCCAAAATATTTAGAAGAAACGCATAAATAAATAAATATATATAAAACACACCATGAAGTGGGTCAAGTTAAAATATTATAATTAAACGAAAGTATTTACAGATGAGCATCATTTGACATTACAACGTAACCTTTGGATATATTGCGTTTTATACAATATCATAAATTGATTTCTCAATTGTTTTTTTTAGACAAATCGTTGTTTAATGCTAATTCGAAATAGCATTCTTCACGTTGGTAATCTTAATTACAATAAAAAATAGTAGTAAGTAACCAATGCCAAATATTAAAAGTAAAAGTGCCAAATTTGACGTTTATTTGAATATTCTTGAAATAGCTGATAACTGTCGTTATTAATGGAAATTCTCATTTATTTCGATTCTAACAAAATTACAGTAAATACACTAATTAAACAATAATAATAATATGATGTTAGTTTCGACTTTAATTGAAAAATACTTTTGAAACCTTGCAATTTTCTTAACAATAATAATATGTTCGAAATAAGTAAGAGAGGATTATCCAAGGCCGCTAGTGTTCAATACCGCGTTTAATTTGCAAACGCTAATAATCATAATTTCTCGGGCTATAGCGCTTTTTGTCAGAACTTCAATATTTTTCGTCTATTTAAAGGCATTATGTCATCGCGAAAATATACGACGTTTCTCAATGAATACATTGATTTTTGTATTCAAATATTCACAAATTTCATTCGAGTTAACTAAAATTAGTAAAAATCAAATCGGATGAAAACAATACAGAAATAATACACTTATGATACTATTGAATTAGACAAAATTCGTGGTTTTAAAAAATCACAAATAATCTAGTTCGTAATACTCACATTGAAACAAATCAACAACTTCATTTTGGATTCCCTTTCGAACTGTATAGTCTTAATTCACACTCGATCACTTAATTACTTTTTACTATTTAGTAGTATTGATCAAAGTTCACGTTTGTATCAGCGTTTAGTTTGCAAATCGCAACGTCTACGGTATTTATACGAAATCTTCCTCTCGTTCCACCTCCGCATCGTGAACACAAAAAAAAAGACAACGGAGAAGAAGCTCCGTCCTTCTTCATCTCCTTTTTCCTATTCCCCTCTTTATTGTTCCACGTAATTTTTTGGTAATTTTCATATTTTTCGCATTAGAGTGAGCGAGACAGGAACGCTATCATTCGAAGATATTTTCGAGAATTTCATCCGTTTCAGATAACACGTTTATTTCTGTATTATTTTTCATACGTCACAGATTTGCATATGTAAGAAAACCGAAAAAATATTAAGTCATAACTCATATGGGACATCCCGTTTCGTTATTTATTTTAATACCAAAAGCAAACATATTTACTTTTCGAGTTTTTGTTCTATTTTTCATATTTTATTAAAATCTCCGACAGATTGTTAATAACTAGCAAATCGACTTTTTCTGCACACAAAACCAGGATAATTTCATTGACAGTTGTCATCTTTCAACTTTCACAACTGACATTTCTTTTGCTTGCATGTCTTTTTGCAACTCATAGTTCTCATCCTGACATTCAAAATATTTCGAATTGCTATTGTGTATGCAGAAACCTATATATTACAAATGTTATACAAAGGATGTATGATAACTATTTAGATGATGACTGTTTACAATTATTTAATTTGACATCTAACACTTATCATTATTTATGTAAGCTGCAACGTAACTCCTTAGCCAATTGCATATGTAATTTGAATATATAACACAATAGGTGCTAATAAATTAGACATTTATTGTATAATTTTTGACAATGTAAAATTAAGTTATAGGCTAGTTCGTACTTTTATTTTAACACGTATTTCATTAATTTAAATTGATCGAAACAAAATATATTTAAATGATGCAATACGAACTACAGATTTCTCGTTTTTAGTAAAGTAAATCTGAATTTTGTGCTACAATCTTTATATTTATTTCAATATTTCAAACTGATAAATCAACCGAGCTGTCAAATTTGACGTTTATTCCATTCTTATTAAATGAAACAAAATATCAAGCAAATGACGCAATTTGGAATTGAGTGTTTTTAAACAATTATAATGCTTGCAAAAACATATTCAATAATCGTATATTTATACACGTTAAATTCCATAAATGACGTGTTTTCTGAAACATCAGAATTTCAAAATACACAGTGTATTTCCACAAAATGATGATTTGATGCTTTTAATCATTTCGAACATGATTTTGCGGTAACTAGTATTACTTTTTTCATGAATTATTTATATAATTAGCACATTTGCTGCAAATTAAGCAATTAATTTGGATGATGTTTTTTTCTTCAAAATTCTTGTTTATTTTTTTCCATTCTAATAAGTTCTCACACAATTCTTGAGCGCAATCAATTAGCGAAGAGAATGAATGAGATCTTCCTGCGATGCGTAATCGAAATTGGCATTGGGAATTCTAATTTCTATTTTTCCAACTGTTAACCTTGTAAGCCTAAGAATCGAACTGAACCAATAACAAGGAAGAGGATGCGAGCATCAATTTTACTTTACTAACAAAAAAAGAGATAATAGCCTGTGAATATTGAAGATTTGCGCACAAAATCGAATGCAATTAATTAGGAAAAACAATTGGCGAATTGACATGATTGATTGATGTGTGCAATGTCCTTCGTCCAGTTTCGTCATACTGTCGTGTCCCAGGGATGGAATTCTTTACACAGTGGAATATTGTCTGGTGTTGTCGTTGTGGAGTCTCAGTAACGCTTAGTCATCAATATAATCAAACCCTACTCCCGATCACAACTCCCACCCCGTGTTAATAAGAATTAACTTTGTAAGTAGAATAACTATTTAGAATTAGTGTCAGTAAAACCCTCAAAGACTGACATAGTCTCAGTAAAACGTTTATATGATGAGCAGTCAGTAAAACCTTCAGATTTAGTCTTAGTTCAATCTGTCGATTAAACTACATTGTCTTGGAAAGGGCCCCAAGCCAATTATAATAAACTTGTTTTAAACCAATTGAATTATTTAATTCCCAACT